AAGCGAGACTTGAAATACAATGTGCCAAGAAATGCTAGCGATAGCTGTATCACGGTTGCGCAATGCGAATGGAATGGTGCCATCACGTACTTGAAGACGGAGGTGCGACGTGGTTACTTCTCATAGCCGTCGCGGTTGGCATCTTGGATGCCACTGACGACCACCACGAGTGCTCGGTGATCTCCGAAGTAAGTGGTTAAGCACGGGGAAGTTTCTAAAACCATCCAACATTACGCGTAGCAACTAGATACTGCCAAAGTGGGATTTCGCATAACGCGAGTAATGTTTAATAATAAGTGTTAGAAGCGGAAAGAAAGACTCTTCTTTCGTCGTGTCGTTACTGGCGGGATGAAGGGGATCCACGTTCTACTCTCTCCGTCTCCGCGCTACTCGGCCGACGGGAAAACCCGACTTGCCTGGCCTCGCGCCATGGGTGAAGAGAAGTGCTTCTTCATAGCGGCGACGGTAGGCCAAGAGTTCAAAATCTCTGCGAAGTGTTGCCCGTAAAGCTACTGCTCTAATAACAAACAAAAAAAAATAATAAAAGAAACATATAATAGGCAAGGTTTACGTCTGCGGAGTGCAATTGTCTGAAACGCTAATTATTTCCCCTCCCCTCAGGAAACTATCGGACCGGCCACGAGCCCTCAAAATTTCTTATACCCGCCGGGAGGAACACTTGCATCACTAGCAAGCCACCCCTGGGGACATTAACCTAAGCTGGAGGAAAGTAGCGTCTGCTAATGCATTATGACTCTATAAGTCGTATCGTCTATTAGTCGTCGTAATTAGAGGGGATTCAGATTCAGATTCGGTAAGCGTTTATCTGCCATAAACAGCGGAGGTTAGTTAGGAGATGGCTCCGGTATTTTGATGACCTGAACGCAGGTGGCACGTCACTAAGGGAAGAAGATGGTTAGATCTATGAAGACGTCTAGATTGGCCTCGTAGACGAAATCCACGAGGCTTCGCAAGGCGTCTTTTCTAACTGGTGGTTCTGGTGGGTGGAGCCAGTCGTTCAAAGAGTGGGCTTGGTTGAGCCGAAACTTGGTCCCTGGCCTCCTTGTAGTTGGGGCAGCACCGTAGGATGTCGTGCATGTCCGAGGGTTCTCGGGTTTATATTTGGCGCATGTGCTGGACTTTTTATCTCTTCTTCCCTTGCAAATCCTGGCCGAAATGCGACCGTCGTTCATCGTGATGCGAGTGAGGATGGTCTTATCTTTACGCCCGAATCCCTGAGACAGGGAGTAGGGCCTGGCGGATAGACATTCCTACAGTGTGTTTTTTGTAAAGGTTCTTAATCTTTGTAGGCTCCCCTTTGGGTTTCTATTCTGTTTGACCTTAGGATCTTTTGCTTAGAGGAGAAGAGGCAGCGTATCCTTGACGTCACGTGACTGACGTCACGTCATGTCACGTCACGTGACATCAAGATTTCTGTTAGATTTAGCGGGGAAACTGAATTGGTGTAGAGATCACGCGACGTCAGGTCACGTGACATCAATTTTACCGCTAAATTTATCGGTGAAACTATTGGTGCATAGGTAATGTGACGTCAGGTCATGTGGCATCAATTTCCCCGCCGACTTCGTCGGAGAAACTTAATTGTATAGATCACGTGACCTAAACAACGCACTGTGACCTAAACACCAATTCAGTTTTTCCGCTATATTCAGCCGAAAATGCACGGACGAACGGACAAAACATTGGGATCGGGGGGGGGGGGGGGGTTCATAAAAAAACATCAATGGCTTTAAAATAAAAAGATTGCCGACCTGCTGCATAGCAAAGTGGCTGCCTTGAAAAGTAATATAAAGTTTACGCATGAGAGAGACGTAGAAGTAATGTGCCTTCATGTGCTCTACTAAGGTTGATGACATCCGGCCCTTTTGTTCCGCACACTTGTTTTATTTGTTCTAAATCGCGTGAAATGGCATCTCTTTGCACGCGCTCTTATCCTTGCTATGGCTACAATTTGTTTTCGCCAATTTCTTTGTATTTCTTTCTGAGCCCGTGATGTCGGCATCAGGAACAACAGTGGATATCATCACACTATATGGAGTATTCACTGGACGCAGTATTTGTGGGTGCTGTTTAGAGCGGATACTCAGAACGAGCTCACATCGATAGTCTGCTAAAACCGGCACCCTTGATGGTGCGGAATGCACGTTGCAAAAGAACTGTGAACGCTCGCCATCAACACGCGCTCAGCATTCGCGCACAGAGCTATGGCCAACAGTGAATACCTCTATACTTCGTCTCACTTTAGCATGAAGTATTGTTGACATGGTAACCCTGGAGCCGGGGAGAATAAGCGACGTAGGACACACAAAAAACTCCAAACACAGCTAAGATTTTATTTCCCCGTCACGTCCTTATATAAACCTACGACCAAGTGACACAGACAAAAAGAAAACAAACGTTTGTCAACAAAGAACCTACGTACGGCCAAGCGAAGCAGACACAAAAAGTTTGACAACAAGAAACCTCAGAACGAGGACACATGATATAAGCAGGTATACTTCTAAGAAAGAACCACCGGAAGCAGGGTGCAAAGGACAACCAGGTACGCTTCTAGAAAGACCATGCGACGCAGACACAAAAGGTTTGACTACGAAGAACCTCAGAACGAGGACACATGTCCTACGTCCCTTCTTTTCCCCGGCTCCAGGGTTACCATGCCAGTATTGAACCAGCTCGTCTGCACCGTTGCCTTAGTTACTATTGTTAGATGCAGCAGCTAAAAGCGCGAGCTATTTCCTTTGGATGAAGCCTTGACTGCTGCACGAGCGCTCGTGCAGCGAGCGCTCCAGTCAACGCAGTCAATGCTACCCGCTCTTGCTTGCGGAACCTTCGCAGTCAGTCCATGCCACCGTGGTTCATGCTTAGGTGAGACCACGGTGTAAGATACCCTCTTTACGTGAGGACTCTGCCCGACGCGGAGCGACCAGATAGAGCCCTTTCACGAGCGCATGCGCACGGCCAAGAGTCCGCGGCGAACTAGAGTCACTCGCTGAAAGAACGACGCATCTGTGAAAAAAACATAAATAAAATACCTCGTCGCCTTGATATAGCACGAGCTCTTTGCTCATAAGTGTGCGAAGGCTGCACGAGAGATGCCATTGCAACGAGATATATTATTTATGTTTTTGTTTTTTTTACACTTACGTCGTATCGCCAGCGAGTGACGCTAGTTCGCTGCGGTCTGTTGGGCGCTAGAGTGCCTACATACACACGCGCGCTTTTGCTTGAGTGGTGACATCTCAGCCATTTTTCAGCCCAATCGTTTTTTTATGCATCTTGAAGTGCGTGCAATCCGGTGTCACTCAGCTCGAGCGCGTAGCTTTGGCTAATGCATAGACGCCATTTTACCGCCCAAGTCACGCACCGGGTGCGCGAGAGCGTCACGGGCTGGCATATTCAGGACAACAATGGATGTCTCCACCCTGAGACAGATTTTTGAGTCGGGGCTCTTGTAAAAAATTTAAGAAAAACTTGTCCCCTGCCCGCTCCCGCTTTCGCACCGCAGGCTTAACCCAATTCCAATAAAAATGAATAGGATCATGTGATCAAGTGAAAATTTCAGGAAAAAGCCAATTGGAATTAAGGGGTTATAAATGAAACCAACTATTGTATCGTACAGCCAGTGGAACGGCCCGGGAAAACCAGTGGTACTAAAAGTACCCACCTGCTCGACTCACTGTCCGGCTCCGCTACTAAGACATGAGTGCGTCTCACAGCGGGTCCGACGGTCACTGAATGGCAACCATGAACCATCCAGCCCCGCCGATCAGTGATCACTTTTATATCCCTCGGCTCCCCTGGAGATCACCCCCGCCACCATGCGGGGGCACCTCCCTACGTGGGAAGTTACGAGGGGCACCACCTTTATGATAGCTTCCCCTGGTATGGACCCCGCCTCAGGGGCTCCGCTTCCATGGGGTAAGCTAGGGTTCCCAGGCCCTTTTTGTCCCCCCCGTCCACATGCGGAACCCCAGTGCTAGGGTTCCCCATCCCAGGTGGGGGGGTTTTCGCCAGAGCCTCCGTTGCAGCAATAAAGCTGGCAGGGCGCACCACGAGCAGGTGGAGGTTGACTTCCCACGCGGCAACAACCGCGGGGGCTTGCGCCCCCCACCCTGAGACAGACAGACATGTAGGCACCCTATTGGGCGCGCGCATGCTCTCGTGAGAGGACTTTATCTAGTCGATCGCGTCTCATTGTTACTCGCGCCAGTGTCCTCACCTAAATAAAGCCCCTCTATCCTGGGAAAAGTGGCGCCATTCATTGCTGTAGAAATGCTCGAGGCACGTGCCGCGCGCCACTTCTGGGAAATTCGTGGCGTCTGATATTTAGTTCAGTTACACTGTAGTTCAGTTACAGTCAGTGCTGCGCTGTGCCGCCATGATCCTCCCAAAAGCTGCACGTTGCACGTGCCTCGTGCATCGACGTACCTTACGCTAATTTTGAAGCATGAAGGGGCTTTACACCTAAAGAGTATATATCTTATACCCCTGTCAGACGGCGCTCTAAACGTCTTTTTCACTAAGCTCTTATATAGAATTGGCCAATCAGCTCGCGATCTTGAGTGCGCACGTGCCCTACGGCGTGAGCTGGTTCGCCGATTTTATAAAGGAGCTTGTTCTAAAGGTCTTTATAATGAACGTCTGTCAAGGGTATTACACCGTGGGTGAGACGAAGTATACACGTTTGCAAGTCCGGTCTCAGGGCGCCGCCATCTTCCTCAGTGGGGTGCGCTCTCGAGAGCGGCCATAATCCGATTACGACGCCTTAGCAAGGCTTCGTAATCGGATTATGACTGGTCCAAGCGCACCCCAGACAGGCAAGTTGGCAGCGCCCTGAAGCCGGACTTGCAAACGTGTATAGACGGAAGGATATTGAGGCACCCTACGTCCAACCAACGTCTTACTGTTGTGAAAAGAGGTTTCAGACACTGGCTCGTTCAAGTCTCAAGGCGTAGAACGCATTGGTAATACGGTTGCAGACGAGGGAGGTCGAGTTTCCTGCCGTCACCGTCTGCAACATGAACCCGTGGAGGAAGTCTAAGGTGTGCAACGAAGACAGCTTCGTCAGCAAGTCGGCCAAGGCGCTCATCGGTCAGCTCTGCAACAGCGTCCCCAGGAACGTCGCGGTAAGCGAGCATGAAACAAACCTGTCCAGGACATAAAGGCGTTGAAATGCTCTTCTCAGTTTAACATATTTTATGCGGAGCGCAAGTTCCTCTCCTTCTTGCACAGGGGATGCGACGATGTCAGAACGCCGAGCTATTATTGGCTTGTAAAAAAATAATGGGTAGATCTCAAGGCATCTAGCATTGAGGTCTATCCACTATATTTCAATCAAAGCCAATCAGAGCTCAGCGTCGTTTTGACGCGACCGCAGCTCCTGCACAAGAAGCAGATGACTTGCTCTCCGCATAGCCATCGTGCGTTGCAAAAAGGGTGCTTACTGCCCTAGCCTACTATATACTGAGAGAGTCTGGGAGAAGCGGCCGCCGAAATGGAAAAGGTGGAGCGGAAAACAACGGATGAGAGGAGAGCCACGTGACTGTCACCCCGCTGCGGCGAGACGCCGAAACCCACTTCTCCCGAGAGAACAAGTGTGTTGGAGGTCCTCGCCGCTGTAAACGCTTTGCGCTGACGTCCAGGTTCCCCAAGAAATGCCTCTTTGATGCTCTGTGCTACCGAATCAGGGTGTAAGATAGACAGGTGGGGAAACGAGAGCCAAATGAGCGACCGGATTGTGTCCCCCTTGGTTTTCTCTTTTTTTCTGGTGCCATCTATGTGGAGCACCGCGAACTTTCACTCCAGATGGGCGACCTGTAGCGACCGGCTAAACTGACAGAGATGGTTTCTCGTGGATTTTTAATGGAGGACTGTCGTGCTCTCGGTTTATTTTGCGCACTCTCCCATAAAGTTCCATGCAAATCCGATTCCATTTTTTTCCTCTTGCCGCAGCGCCATCTGTCGCAAATCGGGCGTACCCGCAAGCAGACGAGTACACAATCCGGTCACGGTGCTGCGGTAGGCTTCTATGGGTCGTTTGCCCACCTGTCTATCTTACACCCTGTACCGAATCCTCGCGCTCCAAATCTGCGACCGGGCACTTCATGGCTCCGTCGTCGTATTGCCAGGTTTTGTGAATATAAAGGAGGCTATGTTTGTGCACAAAGAGATTTTTTAGGACTTGTTTTGGGTAGGACAAACTTCAGCGTCTCAAAGTGCCACACATGTAAAAAAACCGCCGTTTTACGCCTAAAACAAAATAGCGTCAGGACGCCAGATGTTCTGACGTCACCACCCAGAGACAGAGACGCGCACCATAGCGGTGGTGGCATTAATCTGGCACTTCCGATTTTCTTTCCGCGTTGAATCTAGCCGATTTCGGACGTCGAAAGGTGTTTTTACATTCTCCAGCACTACATAAAAAGAAAAAAAAAAGAAGAAGCTCAGCAAAGGCACTAAAGTAGTCCGAGGCCCTATCATGTGAGCTTGTACTACCCAAAATGAGGGCGCCAGAGTTGGTTCAAAACTTCGTCACAGGAGGCCTATATCGATATTAACCACATTAAAGAAGAAAACAAGAGCTTGCGGTGACATCAGGGCGACAAGCTATGTTTGGAAGTATTGTGGGTAGACGTGAAGTTAGCTGCCTTGGTTGCTACCCACTTTCTTCCTCCAATCAAAACGAGCAAACATGTCGTCTCTTCTTTGTACAGGGTCTAGCGTTCGAACTACGAATTTTGAACGCGTTCAGCTTTCCAAGTACAGACCTCACGCGAGAAGCAGGTGACGCTTTTGCTCGCTTTGATTGAAGGGAGACAGTAGGTCGGTCGAGGCAAGGGTAGGTAGCCTTTGCTTTCAAATTTTATTCAAATGTGTTTATTAGTGGTGCAGATTATCTTGTAAACTTTCGAGGCGTAGCTCCACTTGTGTAAAAATTGTGAACATCAGTGATAATTTAAAGTACGGGTGAAAACGTAGACAATCGAGACACGCCGAGAGTTTTACAGGGAGAATCTAACGAGAGATGGCGCAGCATTTCGTTATTGAAATACACCACGACGGTGGCGGTTGATCAGACTGCGAATAATCATGGTGCCATCTAACTTTCAAAATATTACCACCGCAAAAAAAAAAAAAAAAAAGAAAAATCTTCAGGCAAACACGATTGTGCGAACCTGCCGCAAACGCGCAGCTCAGCTGCTTCTACTTACCTATGGCTTCACAACGGAAAATGTACCATTAAAATCACCGTTAAGCCTCAGTCGTACTGCTAATACATTACCATAAGAGAGTTTACAGACACTGCCCGCGGCGAGTTTTATGTACGAGGGGCGACCCAAAAGTAACCGGAATGAATTTATGGAAGGTGGTACGTTCGTAGTACCAGTTCTCGCCGCTAGCAGCGCTTAGCGGTACCTCTTCCGAGTGAGTTTGCCGACCGGGGTCGTTTCCTGAAGTTCTAGCTAGAGTCATGTTTTGAATTTTTCCCCAAACCCTTCAAAGTCATTCCTCGTTTTTTGCAATTTCTGATTTCAAGGACCTTTCACATCCACAAAGCGCTGTGCTTTCTGGACCTTTTTTAGACGGGCGAACAGGAAAAGGTTACACGGGGCGAGGTGCGACGAAAAAAAGGGGGGGGGGGGGGGTGCGGGGGCAGAAGCGGTGTTATGTCATTTGTGTTCAACAATTGTTGCGCTCACAGGACAGTGTTTGCTGCTGCGCTATCGCGAAGAAACCACCGCTACTCCCTTTTTTACAAATTGGGGGTTTCTGACTCACTGCAGGTTGCGCAAGCCTCGCATGCAGATCTCCGAGATAAAACATCTGATTTACAATTTCACCAGGAGGAACAAACTCAGAGTGAACAGTGGCGAAATTTTTTCGTAGTTATCATTAGTTGAGGAGATTGAGGGTCGCCCTGAACGAGGTTGGTCGGTGATCAATAATAATTCACCGGTTTCGAAGCGAAAAAACCACTCGCAGACTTGCGATTTCTACATATCATCTTCTTTGTAAGCTGTCTGAAACATTATGAAAGTTACCGCTGCCGTTTTTTCCTTTAAAAAAAAAAGGAGAATTTCACGGCCGCACGTTGTTTCTTCAAATCAAACATTGCAAAAAAAGAAAAAAAAAAGAAAGAGGAATAATTTTTGAAGCATTTGGAGCAAAAAATTTTAACATGCAGCCGGAGCTTTAGCAGACGACGCCGGTCGGCAAACTGGCTCAAGAGGGCATACCGCTAAGCGCTGCTAGCGGCGGAAGCTGGTACTAAGAACGGCCCACCCTCCAGAAATTCCTTCCGGTTACTTTTGAGTCCCCCGTCGTTCAACGGTCCTGTCACATTAATCAGGAAAAAAAAACTGTTCCCAGACATTTTTTAAGCATACTTGTGTATGAATTGCAAACATACCTCGAAGGTGGTTGAGGCATGCCCTGAGATAATTCCGAAATCATGTATATGATACATGACGATCAGTCTAACCGTAGCTCTAATATAAAGGTAAAGCTCGCTAAGTGAAGAAACCAGTTTTTCCGGCTTACTTTACAGTGAGCTTCGTGATCAAAATATATTTCAGTAAGAAAAATATAGGTTTATATGAACAGGAAACAATTTTCTTAACCCTGTAGTTTTTTAGCAGACTTCAGATAGCTTCCAATGTCGCCGCGTTCCTACACGCGCTCTCCTCTCTTGTGCCCGAGTTACAGATGGACGAAGAAGACCTGGAATTGACTCAGAGGTTGAAGACCTGGATCTCTGTCGAACAGCGCCGCAATTTGAGTCGGGCCGAGCGCCTGGGTCACCAGATTGAAGACATGATCCTCGAGTGCCGGGTTCAAGACGGAGACTGCCTCAGCACTCAGTAAGACATCCACATAGTCTGCAAGACGCGAATAGCAGAAGTAACTGGAAGAGGTTCCATCTACGAACATTCCAACCGACCGAAAGCGAAGGATGAAAAAAAAAAATGTATGAGAACTTTCTGCGTTCTCTTTCCTCTTCCCGCTGAATCTGCCACGTGAAACTGGAAAGATTAGAGAGAGAGAGAGAGAGAGAGAGAGATAGTGTAGGTCAGTAACACCTCATAGATTGAGGAAGGGTAACCCTGTGTCGGAAAGTCGCGAGATAGATGGTCAGACGGACATAAACCTGGTCTTTATTATTTATACTGTTTAAGGTTAGTCTGCTTTCTGCTATGATCTAAGACAAATTATGTCAAAGCTGACAAGTTTTTCAGTGCAGCAAAAGTGCTTAGCTATACTTTATCTTACGCCCCGCTGGCAAAGTTACCTTCCGGAGGGTTCAATGGGTTACCAGTTAGAAGACACGTGGATACTGATACGCACGCCTGAGAGATATGTTGAGGGGTACCTAACTGGCTTGTAACCGGATCCGGCGGCCTGTAACTATTAAAGTCAATGAATCCAGTGAGCTCAGTAGCTACGGTTTTGGTCCGTCATAAGACGAGACGAAGTATGGAATATTTAGCGTGCACGTACCATGCATTTGGAATGGCATGAATAACTGCAGTCTGGCAATTTCTACTTTCTATACGTCCATTCCGCCCTTGTCTTTTCAGCTTGTTGGACCTTCGACTGGTGTCGCGTTATGGGAACTGCTACTGCTTGGGCTGCAACAGCAGTCGTTTCAGCTGGCAGGCAATGCAAATGTCAGATCCTGAGCAAGGTAACGTGAGATACCATGTTCTATGCGGTCGACAAATGTCAGTGATGTCAGCTAGTAAGCTGGGCTGGACGTAGAGAGAAGGCGGGGCAAAAATTGGCTGTATGTTTGGTAATTTTCCCAAACGCGTGGATTGGTGCGGGCGACAGACATAGTGCCGTCCGCTTTCCTCTCCACCAACACGTCCCCCAAGACGGCAGGTCGGGTATCGACCCCCGGTGTAGACGTTACCAATGTTGTGAAGTTTCTTCAACTAAAATATTAAATTTTTTAAACTACAGTAATATGGCCAAATTTAGAATATCGATGAAGGCGCGATGTCGGTGCCTATCCCGGCCGCTGGTTCCAAGTCATTTCGCCTAGTGCAGCCTTGTGCATGGTCTGCTGTGCGTCTTCCTCTCTCAGTGCCTTGCAAACACCCCCTAGAAGACAAGGCCGTAGTGCTGACATATTTGCGTCACCAGCGAAGGCTAACACTACATACAGATATCAAACGACTGCTGCGTCAGCTATCGGCTTCGAGTTAAGTTTGAGCCAACGTTACTAGATGACCTGAGCTGTGGAACTCCCGCGGAAGGGGGTACCCCCCTCACTCACTTCAGTCCGCCTTCCGTCGTTTGAAGCGCGATCTAGATTTTCGTTTCATAACTGTGTTTTCCATAGAGTACGGTGGAACGCCATCTAAGCGCTGTGCTACGAAACGTGTGTATTCCATAGAATACACTGCAGGTACCATAGCACCATACACTGCAGGTACGTACCATAGTACCATACACTGCAGCTACGGCACGTCGAACGACGGGAGGTGAGTTGTGGTTGGTGAGGAGGGGGGGGGGGGGGGGAGGGGGTACTACTTGTGTTTTTAAGAGTGCCATCTGGGGAACGTGTTAGTGGAGAGAAACGCGACCGCCGCCATGACTGCCGGCCGTACCGACACACGCGTTTAAATATTGCAGCTTTATAAGGTCATGGCCTCTGAGATTTATCGCGTGCTCTGCCCCCGGCTTGTCCAAACGCTCGGCTGCCCAGCAGAAAAAGCGACCCGAGCCAGTTCTCTAGATCTCTGCATGTGGCACTCATAACCAAACCGGAAACAGAGTCGCCTCAAAGCTCTCTGTCAGGTGTGATCCCTCATCATGAAGCTTGCAATGTTGTTGTTCTCATCATCAGAATAGAGGCAGATAAATCGATCTCTGTTGATACGTAATTTTTATTCGCTTCTCCGGTATTTGTGCTGTTTCACTGCATACCTCACTACGAAAGATTTATTGCGAATCCATGATTGTCATCTGCGGATACGTTCTGGGCCTGCGGTACAGACAGAGAAATAGTTTTGTCGTCAGGCATGAAAACAGCTTTTTGAACATCGCTTAGATGCACGGACATCGGTTCTACACCTTTTGCCCCTTTAAGATATAAACCTTCAAATTTCGAACAACTTCCGTCCTTGCCAAAGGTCTGTGGATTGCGGCAAGAGGCGGGGAGCAGATTTCGCGCTGCTCCTAAATTCCGCAGAACGACGATAATGGTGATAACTATAATTCGCGGCTATGTCTTTAAATTGTTTCCATTTAACGCCCCTGAATAAGAAAGGTAGCGCCATCTTCTCCCTCCTCTGACGCGCACACCTTTTATCTTCATGTTTTGCTTTTTTAGACCCGCGCATTGACTGTAGTGACGCCTGGATCGGGCCAAGATATCAGACGGCTTTACTATACTTGAGTCAGAGCGCAGTCAAAGGCTGAAAGACACGCGCAAATACATACACACAGGCTAAAAGCGCACTGTCACGGTTTACCAGCCTCGAAGGATCGGCTCAAAGAAAGGCGATGAAAGCCATGACGTTGCACAGTCGGTGTTCTTTGATTGGCGGCATGAGCTCATAGCATGCACTGCACTCCGACAGCATAGGCATTCCCTCTCCCTTTTTCTCTGAAACACACACCTTTTATCTTCATGTTCTGCTTTTTTACACTCGCGCATCAACTGTAGTGTCGCCTGGATCGGGCCAAGATAGCAGGCGGCATTCTTCAAAGGATGGCGCTACTTTTCCGTATAAAAGGGGTTTTAGTTTGATTTAGCTGCGAACGCCACCAAGCGCTCCACAGCAACAACCGGCGAATGCAAGGGCCTGAGGAGCACAGCCAGGGCGTGAAAAATCTCAAAGGCCATGATAAGCTGGTTGGTGCTCTTAGCTCGGCTGGCGCCTATGGCAGGATGACCTCTAAGCCGGGGTAACACTGCCTAGTCATCATACAAAAGACAACCTGCACACAGATTCGAACGCAAGTCGCCGTGAGATCCGTGCTTCGAATGCCGCATGGCATAGAGCTTAAGGAGAAACATGGCACCACGGATATTGCGGTGACTTATGTTTGCAAACTGTCCTTTGTATGATGTATGAGGAGTGTGATTCAGTGGCTTTAGTCTTTCAGTGCCCGGGATGGGTGGTGGTGACTAGGAGAGGGTTTTGTTTGAAAACGGATTACGTCGCACCATTGTCTCTTTGTGACACTCCGCGCTCTTTCCTTCAGCACCACCCAGATAAAAAACCTTTGCGCAGAATTTTCTGGGTCACAAAGAAAAGGGAAGCGCCATTTCCTGTCTCCTTTACTTCTTGTTCCGCGCGCTCTTCCTAAACCACATGTTTCTGCACCTCTCGTCCTTGCCCTTTCTAACCATCTCCGCTTCGTGCGCTTTCTCACACTACCTGCTTCTTCTCCCCCCGTTCCTGCGTGCTGGGTCCGTAGCTCAGTCAGCAGCGCACTCAGCTTCCGCGCCGGTGACCGGAATTCGATACCTGGCAACGGTTGCAGTTTTTTCTCAGGTCGTGTAGCGGTTACGTACTGAACGACCTACACATTTCGTGGTAATCGGGCTAGTGAGGTTGGTTGACAAAATACACCTACCACTTTAATACCGCTTCAGTAATGCTCGCACACGCGCTGTAGGTCTTCAGATGTCGCTGAACATGGAGCCCGAGGAGTTCCTTCCGCTGACCGTAGAAGCCGGCTTCTACGTGATGATTAACCAGGCGGGTGCTCGGGAAGAGGTCTTCGACAACGCCGTCTACGTCCCGCCGGGAGCTACGACCTACATCGGCGTCCTAAAGGTATACACGACAGGGTGCCAAAGAATTTTCGTAAGAAATTTCTTGCATGCATTGATTTAGTTCGTTAGTAGTAATCAAAACCATTGGATTAGATTTGTGATGCAGCCCAGTTGGTTAATGGTAATCAAAAATAAACAGCGTGAAAAAAAAATTACAGACAGGAATAAGAGGGAAGGTGCGAAAGCTTCCAGCGCTTGCGTCGTTCGAAAGTTGTCTCTTGTCCTTGTCTGTATTTTTTGTGCTGTTTATTATCGGTTACAAAAAGATTGACATTGACCATCATATCTCCGGCTAAAAGACAATTATGGCCCGCGTGGTCCGAAAAGAACGCTGAGTTTTTGATTGAATGCACACACTAAAAATGTAAAAATTCCCGTCAGAAATGTTTAACCCGCAAATGAAAGCAAATAAAGATATTCACAATCATAGTTGCGCTTCCAGGTTTCGCGAATTTTAGTTAAGTTATGATGGGTTTCACATAAACATCGGGATTGTCGAAATATCTTTTTTTTTTTCTTTTTAAAGAGTGGATTGGGTTATTTAGGGGAAGGTCCGACAGTTTAGAACGGGTCTGGGTGGCAGGCACGTAGCCAGGATTTTGTTTCGGGGGGGGCGGCCCATGACAAAATGCTTTATGAGAAGGAGGGGTGAGAGGGGGGTCCCAGCAAAATGGAAGATTTAGGGGGGTGGGGGGGGGGAGGGCCGGGCCCCATGCCCCTTCCCCCCCCTGGACACGTGCCTGGGGTGACGATACAAATTGGGACTGAAATTGAGAACAACCATAATCCTCCTGGGCCGGTTTTCTGTAAATATAGGTATCGATTCCATTGGTCAAAAAAGCAGCGAGAGGAATTTTAAGCTCACGTGACCGGCTCTGTGATGAGAATGTTGCTAGCGCCCCAGTCGATTCCGCTCAGAAAACGTAAACCTTACCTGTCGTTTCCTTAAAGGGATCATGATAAGAGAACATATCTACCTGTTCTCAATTTACTTATATTCATTAAACCACAACGATGTTGATTTCTAAATAGAATACTTAAAATATTGCGTCTGCTTTTTTATAAATTGCGTTTGAAATTCCTGCTTTTTGGCGTGCTTAAAACGACAATGCACCATTCTTCGGAAGTATGAGCAACAGAGCGTTACGATGCGTATTTAAAAAAGTTTAATAAATATTCAACCTTACTTAATCTTCAAATGATAAATTGTGAATGATAACCATAGCGAGTTATTTGGGGTGTTCATTTATTGGTTGGACGATACTACGTCACGTTATTGGGCTTCAGTTCGGTTTCAAACACATTTTGTCTTCAATAAAGAAAAAATCTTAAGAAATCGCTGAACGGATTTCGCCAAGGAACGAACCCGGTGAACAGGGGTAATCAAGCTCGACTTTCCAAATGTCTAAGGCTATTGCCACTGACATCTCAAGAAAGGCAGGGCGTGACTCACAGTGTTAACAAGTGTTGCCTTGGAATTTTTTCTTCGACATTCTTATCGGCCAAAACTGCAAGCTTATTGGCTGCAACTCGATAATTAGATGGTAATGACTCACCACACCCGGCACTGCTGAAGCTGTCAGTGCTATTGAGTGATTCATAGCCACATTTTGGTACTATGCTTGACCGCGGCAACACTGAGATCTGGGATATTACGAGTGTAGGTACAGAATTATTCGCAATTGTCGACCTTATCAGTAATTTTGGTATCTTGTAGCCTTTTCTCCATTCACGGCTATGTAGGTTTGAAGGAGTTACATCAGCACCATTGCGACTGCGGTGCGAGAAACAACGGCCGCTCCAGTTGTGCGTTCAGTGACAGTAGAGCCGCGTGCAGTGATTATGTGTTCGGAGTCTGAGGGCGTGTCTGGCGCCGATGTTCATGGAAGACTTTCCGCAGAGTCTGGACCGAGTGTTTTGTTACCAAAAACTGCATGTGAATGAATGCAGAGGTTTAACGAAAAACGGACCCGTATCAGCCACGAAGAAGGAGGTCGGACGCCGTCTACGTTCACGACAGATAACAACATTCAGCGTGTGCAATCTTTCATTAAGTGAATAGTCAAGCCTTTTGAAAGCTGGACGAAGTTGAGTTAAAATCTGGGCGGTTGTGTTTGAAAATAATCTATTAGATTTTTCTGAAAGTTGTTTAAAATAAACTTTACAGCCAGAGTGCGAATAACTTAGAGTAACCCACGTATACTTTAAACAAAAGCAGGAGGATGCGGATTCCGTTTGTCGTTCAGAACCTCCTCGGATATGTGCAGAAATTTCGATCAGCGAATACCCTTTGTGGATAGTTAGCTTGTTGGTGGCTAAATTACGAAAACGAAAGTGGGACATAGGAAAGAATACAGATGTCTGTATTATCGTTTATGTCCCTTTTTCGTTTTCGGAGCACTCTTTCTTTCGCTGCTTTCAGTCGACCTCCAAAAACCTCGAACCACCTTTCAAGAACCCCTGCCAGAAAGATTGGCCCGAGGAGCTCAAGAAGTACGTCGCCCCGGGAGTAGGGTACACCCAACGAGTGCGTACAGAGTGTTTTCAATTAGATGCCTTATCGACGCTTGCAGAAAAATAGTCGAAGCCAGTGGGGCGGTTGTTGGTACGTCACGGTATCAGAGATTATAGGCTACACCCAGTTTTTGGGGAGTACTTTAATTAGGCACATTGTACTTAAAGTACTATTTCAAAGTACTACTTCAAGTTGGTTTAGAAAACTAGTACTTTAAGCACATTCTCCGAGTATGAGCTTGTACTTTACTTAAAGTATTTTCCTGGCACTTCCCGAAAAATGTACAACTCCCGACATCAAAGTACATTTTCTGAATTTTGTCTTTTTTTTAAATTTGTATTACAAAATGATGATTTGTCAACAAATAATTGCCTTATAAGTTGATTGTGTTGAAGAGTTGGTCAGCTAGAGTAAGAGGACTGCAGTGTGGCCACTTGACTTCATCCAATATCCTCCTCCACCTACGAAAATAACTCATGACCCCCGATTACCCCTAGGACAACGCCTGTCAGTTAAAAAAAACACTGTGTAGGGGAATGAAAGTAGACAATAAAAGATTGTGTTCAGAAGCACTTAAAAGTAAACTTTTGACAGAGATCTTTCTGGTTGGGACTAATTAATTACTAAAAAGTTAGAGCACCAACCAAGCCCTTCTATAGGGACCCTACCTTTCGAGGACAATTCGGCCTCTTCTTCAGGAGCGACTACGGCTATGGCCGCTAAGGAGCAGCATCCTTTTCTTTTTTGCGCTGTCTCCTCTCTGAAGTCAATGCCTAAAGACTTTACGCATTGACTTCGTAGAGAAGACATCGCAAAAAAGAAAAGGACGCTGCTCCTCAACGGCCATAGCCGTAGCCGCCCCTGAAGAAGATGCCGAATAGGCCTCGAAACCTAGGGTCCCTATAGAAGGGCTTGGTTGATGTTCGAACATTTGAATAATTAATAATTACTTGTACTTTACTTTGAAAGTACACTGTATTTATAGCACTTTACTTTAACTACATTGCGCCTGGTGTGCGTACTACTTCACTTGATGTTCATAAACTCTAATTTACTTGGCACTTCACTCGGAGTACTTTTTTAGATATGAACTTTACCCAACACTGGCCACAGGCATGGTGGCTCTCTCAGAGCTGAAAACTTCGCTCTAAAAAAGCTCGCGGTTCTTAGAACGAGACTTTTCTTGAAGCGTGTCGAGTAACAAATTACGTCAAGTTGCTGCCGATTGGTGCTCCTGAGGCTGAGGCAGTACCTCCTTATTAATAAAACCACAGTACTGAAGTTTCTGCGTCAGCTAAAGAAGGCCAAAACAGGGCGCAGACTGGTCACGATTGCTGTGTCAGCGTTCTGACGAAACTCGCGTTCAGTCGGCGATGACACAAGACCCAGCCGAAAACTGACACCGCGGTCGTGCCTAGTCTCTTCTTCGAGGGACGTTGAACATTCAGCACTAGGGCTTTGCCATACGTTTCAAGTTAAGTCGGACCGCAGCCGACTTTACAATCCTGTGGAGCCAATCAAGCAGCGTTGAAAATTCATCGTCACGGCGCGCGCTCGTCGTCTTTGTCGTTTACAGTCACCCACTAAACCAATCACATAAAAAAAGTGCAGGATCGCGCCTCATTCATTGCATGTGATTAGTTTATTTAGCGATCGCACAGGCACGAAGGAAACAAGTGTCATTATACGTTGGGGGGTTCGGTGGCCAAGTGGGCTAAAGCGCACACCCGGCTCGGAGCATGTAGACCCAAAGCTCGCGCTGCGGAACCCAGGGATCCTGGGTTCAATCACCACCCATGCCCGTTTTGATCTGGACGAGCATCGTACCGGCGTGCGGTCGTGTATCACTACTGTGTGAGCACGTTAAGGACCCCAGGTTAGCAGTTGTACTGCACTGGCAAAATAGCTCATCTACAGCGTAAACCAGTGGCTCTCCATCCTGGAGAACGGACCTTACGCTGTATAAATCACTAAACGTCCAATCTGACTTTTTGTCATCATACGATGTGGTCGCTGTTTCATCACCACCATCGGATCGTAATTGCGGCTGCGATCCCATGAGGGGTAACGAGTTGTTGGATGAGGCATCGGAAAATGTTCGGAGAAGCCGGGTGTCCAGGACCCCGAGCTCTGACATCCCTCGGCGCCGCAACATTGGAGGTTGTCAGAGTTGCTAGACTGGGTTGAGTGGTATCAGTCAGTTGGAAACAATCTGAAGCCACGAGTATAGCTCATTGTGGCTGCCTGCGGTCGACGGCGCTTTCCAATGCAACCCTGTAAGCAGGCTTCGCTCAAAAATTTTCCTTGCAAGCATTGTGTAGTCGCCGTTCAACATCAAACTGCACCGTAGTTAACCGTAAATGCTTATGTTAGCCGAGTTTACAAACTTGGTTTTGTGGGTTGAATTATGGAAGGGAAAGTGGGGCAACTGAGGTTGACAGCCTGGTCAGATACAACCAACTTCGCAGTTAGATGTGATACCACTGAGTCCCCTTTTATTAATTTTCATGCGAGAGCATTAAAGTGAGAAGACATCACAAAAATTGAAACTTCCCGAAGGAGAATCTAACCCAGGACCTAGATATTGCGAGTCATACGCTCAACCATAAAACAAACGGGAAGTTTTTTTAGATTTTTATAATAACTCTGCAATGTATGCTAGAGGCTCAACTGGCGCTAGAGCCTATTCGACTTTTGGAATGCATATTGAAGCAGACAGCAACCCATCTACTTTTACTGTGCTCCTGCACATTCTTATGGAAAAACGGGTGTGCATTTTGTCTCTTCTCCGGTAAATAACATAAATGAATTTTGTTATTTGGGTTTTATCGGACAGTATGTACCTTTATTAACATTGTAAAAGTGTAATTGCTTTGGTTACAGCGTTTTTCTTAATCAGCGAACGATGTTAAACTCTGCTATCTTTCGGGCCCAAACGGATGTTCCACAGAAGCTTATGTAAACACGAGCGACGAATCTAAGCAAAATAACAATCGTAAGGAATGAAGAGTATGGTCGAGGTTCGCCAGAATTCCAATGACGCTTATATAACTTGCTAGTACGCCGATCCTGTGACATATATGACCCGTCGCGCATTTTTACAACCGGTTAAAACTGTTCAAAACGTGAAGAATAAACTTCGTGGGGCTATGAAAGGTGGCTCTTTTTATTATTTTCTATATAGCTTTTATCGGACGAATGTTTTCTGGCTTCTCTCCATTTTCAAAGATTTCAAGCGTGTGAGTGATAATTTGAACGCGGAACAAGCATCTACGCAGATATGAACCGGCAGATCGAATAAAGCAATACTTACTTATTACATAACAGACTACATTAACTGGATCCTCACTTTATTTGACCGCCTACGTGCACAGGGAGTTACTAATCCAGGGTTACTGCGTCGTCTCTCTTGGTTTTCCACATGTCCTTCGCTCGCCCGGTACGTAAATCCCCCATGCAGAAAGCGCCGACGCCGTGTTCGCGCTGATATTGCCCAACACCGCACATCAATGCATGCAGGAAGCTGTTTTACCACAGTTTTTACTTATGTGAATTTCACAGAAAAACACTTTAACTGACCAATATTTCTATTTGCGTAAATGATAAATGTTTCAAACTGTCTACTACGTTATAATTATTCGTAATGTTTTCTCTTATAATCAAGCAGGGAGGAAAAAGTGAAAGCCGCTTACAACTCCCTGTAACGCCGAATTAGAGCGCAGCTCTTGAGGAGGAGGAGGGAAGGGTACTGGGGGGGGGGGGTCAAGTGACCTTGGGTGGGGGTCACGTGACCAAGGGTGGTCACGTGACGATGACGATGCCGATGACGTCATCAGTAACGATGACGATGCGGATACCGATGACAATGACGATGCGGATGCCGGTGACGTCATCAGTGATGATGACGATGCGGATGCCGGTGACGTCATCAGTGACGTCACTGATGACGTCATCAGCGATGATGACGATGACGATGCGGATGCCGGTGACATCATCAGTGATGATGACGATGACGATGCGGATGCCGGTGACGTCATCAGTGACGTCACTGATGACGTCATCAGTGATGGTGACAATGACGATGCGGATGCCAATGACGTCACAGTGATGATGACGATGACGATGCGGATGCCGGTGACGTCATCAGTGACGTCACTGATGACGTCATCGGTGATGATGACGCTGACGATGCGGATGCCGGTGACGTCATCAATGACGATGACGTCATCAGTGATAATGGCGATGCGGATGCCGGTGACGTCATCAGTGATGATGACGATGACGATGCGGATGCCGGTGACGACATCAGTGACGTCACTGATGACGTCATCGGTGATGATGACGCTGACAATGCGGATGCCGGTGACGTCATCAGTGACGTCACTGATGACGTTATTGGGGGTCACGTGACCCCGGGGGTCACGTGACTTGGGGAGCCACGTGACTTTGGGTGTCACGTGGCCTTGGGGGTCACGTGACCCTGGGGGAGGGGTCACGTGACCTTGGGGAGTCACGTGACCTTGCGTGTCACGTGACCTTGGGGTGACTTTGGGGTCACGTGACCTTGGGATGGCCTTGGGGGTCAAGTGACCTTGGGATGACCTTGGTTACGCCGACGGCGACGGCGGCGCCGCTCAAGCCGGGAACGGGCCCCTAAGAGCTGCACTCTAAAACAAGAAAGTCATGCGTTACAGCCCGCCGAGCATATATGGAATAACCACCGGCCGTTGAGACAGCTAGATCGATTGCGGAGGGGGATATACTTAATAAGCACATTGGTCGAGGTAGCCGGGAGCCTCATAAATAAATTTAAGGCATTACAAAAACCATCCTGCGAGATAAGACCTCAAGGGCCGGTGGTTGTTTCATATATGCACGGCGTCATACACAATCTGAAGAAGGCGGCTCAACGTTGCGATGTCCCGGTTGCGTTTTCAGCGCCCAATAAGATGTCGCGATTATGCCGAAGAATCAATAATCCCCAAATGATCATAGACCCGTGCAACACTAAGCATAAGAACAAGTACAGAGATTGCACGACTGGCGTCGTGTATGAGATTCCGATGACCGTGTGGGTTAAGCTACACTCTACAAAATGCCCGTGCGTCCGCTTTCACGCACAACGCTTGGAGAGCCAATCACTGCAACTAACGGAGGCAGCTCAGCAAATGACGATGCCGAAACATGTTTAGACCGAAAACCGCAGTCTGAGTTGTTACATCAAGAAATTCAACCGTGACGTTTTGCATTGCTTAATATCACAACTCAGACGGCGTTTTTTGGTCTAATCATATGTTTCGGCATTGTCATTCGCTGAGCTGCCTCCGTAAGTTGCGGTGATTGGCTCTCCGAGCGTTGTGCGTGAAAGTAGACGCACAAAGTTTTTTTAGAGTGTATGTAGGGCAAACAGGCATATATGTTAATGATCGAGCCCGCAAACACGCAGCGTCCACTAGGACGACACTGCCAGGGCATCTCGCCGTTCATCGCGGCAGATGCTCTTGTCATTCAACTGCACAAACATGTTGGCAAAATACAAAAACAAAGTGTCACGCGAACTACATGAGGCTTTTGAGATTAGGGCTAGAGGAAACAAGTGTATCAGCGAAACGTCTTTGTGGCCCTATCTACGGAGGAATATGAGTATTTAAAATATGAGCTGGGCAGGGATTGATTGATGACTGTGTGTTCCCGTTGGGAATAATAATGTGTACTTTGTCTAATAAACTTCAGTTGAGAGTGCGCCCTGTGTCGTTGTTCTTGTCTCGGTCCGTGTTTTTTTTTTTTGGTGCTTTGTACCCTTTGCCTTTTCTGGCTGCCAAATCTTCCGTAGACTGCCACGCTGGAGTGCGACGTGCAGCAAAGCAGGCGTCTGCCACATACAACGCAGCCGTTGGGACGCCGCCAGGATCGCGACTGGCGACAGCATGGCACTTCTGCGACGTCATCGGGCGGAAATCGAGGGACCACTTTTTGTGGGCGCGGTAAACACACCAGTCGGAGACGCGTTCCAGGCACCATAGTTTCGGTCTCAAACGATAACAAATGGGGCTGTCGGCGTTTGCGGTGCGCTCAGCGAACGTACCACGCTGACCTCGTTATTTTTTATGAGTGCCCGTCGTTCAGCGTTCAGCGTTTGGAAAATTATATCGACGGACCTAGTATGCAGCAAACAAGTGTCGCAAGTACGCGCCTCCGGAAGTGCTTTGCGTGTATTTGCTTTCGTAGCGGGACTGGTCTAGGCCTAGTCTCCCACGTCGACCATACTACGTTTCACCTTACGTGCGAGTGCAGCGTACGCTACGAAACGACATATCCAATCAAATAGCGGCAAAGGTGCATCACCGGAGGACCTACTAAGGTGCAAAAAGTGCGCCGCCCACGCCGCTCAAGCCGGAAACGGGCCCCTAAGAGCTGCACTCTAAAAAGATCTACCTGCTTTTCCCCGCAGAAATGCTTTACCCAAAGTCAATTTACCATTTGTTCCTGTCTGCTTCGATCTAGCGCAGAGAAGAAAAAAAAAACGCACCCGATTTCTTCTGTAGAAATGCATTACCGGAGTTCAATTTTCGACTGGCTGCTGTCTGCTTCAATTTGCTCTGATAATCAAACGCAAAAAAAAAAAAAAAAAAAAAAAAAAAAAAAACGTACCCACTTTTTTTTTTAGGAATGCCTTACCGGAAATCAATATTCGACTGGTTGCTGTCTGTTTCAATTTGTAATAACACAGTAGCGCCAGCTGAACCTCTAGCGTAGATTATAATAACTCTGTGCTGCACACGAACGAGGAGACTTGAGACTGGTGGTAATTAAGAAATGTGATAACTTCTCGTTCGCCAACCGACACCGCGGAACGTGGAAGGGGAGCCGGCGGGTAGCTCTGATGCTTGTACCCTCTGCACGAGGGCTGGTGTAGCTGAAGCGAAATGGGACGCGAGGAGCTCGTGCGTGTGTCCGCCGTCGTGCAGGGATTCCACAGCTTCCAACGGAAGACACACTTTCGAAAGGGGTCGTAGTACATAGTACTCTTGCTAAACATCCAAAGTACATACGTAGCAGGAACTAATTGGGGTACGTGGAAAACAAGGAAACATCTTGGGCCCGAGTTTTAACGTAACACGTCTTGAGTAATGGTGTTCATCAACGAAAAGAAGAAACCACCTGAAACATCAAATATTGTAATAAACCACGTAGAAGAGTATAAATATCGAAAGGTATATGGCTCAAGAACTGAAAGTAATATCTAGAGGAATACGGGGGAAATATAATTAGAAAAGGGTACATAAATTCATCTGTTATAAAACACAAGGCACCGTAGAATAGCAATTGACCTGAGGTGGTCAGGGGTACATGAAAAGGAGTGATGGCGTCTGGACTATCTTTTGTGAATGGAGTATTGCGCATAATCTCAGACGTTCAATCACGATTGGAAATTCGAGAAGAAGCATGGGCAGATCGGCACTGGGAACGTATGAGAAAACACCAAATGAGAGGGTACAAAGGGACATGGGCTGATAGTGATTTGAAAGCAGTGAAGGAGTTGGTAAATATAAATTTTAACAAAGGTAAACGGAGATGGAAGATTCGCGGTGGGCACGACAAGTACACGGGAATTCGTGTATAAAACGTTTAAACATACAACAAAAAATTAACCGAACTCGGAAGTCGACATTTGAGTACCCACACATTTGCGCACATTAGAAATGGGGTTGGGAAGGGAAAGGTTTAGGTGCAAGAGAAGGTAAACGAAATTGAAATTAAAATGGGGGGAGGGAAGGGAAAGGAAGTCAGCTGTAGCAATCTAAGTCCGATAAAGTGTTTTATAATTTCCAAGGAAGCTCTCTCCTCTTTGAGGCCTTGTCATGAAACCGGGTGGCACAGGAGGGGACTCTTCTGAGTCGTGCACAGACCGCCTGGACCTGAACACAGCTGCAAAGCGGGAGCTAAGAGGGCCGTCCCGCAACCGGTTTCGGCGACGCCGTGTTTTCTCTGAAGTGAGCCGAGAGGAGAACAAGCGGGGGACACGGGCGCGTCTTGAATTGGGGAAAAGAGCGGGGGACGCTGCCTCCCGGGCGCCGGGACGAAACCACATGAATGTGAGAGGAAGAGAGGCACGGGCCGAGGAAGTCAGGGGCAGGAGGTTGGAGACGAGTCGACCGGCGGCATTTGATGAGGAATATCGAGAGAGATTAGAGTAACTGAGATTGAGTCGAGGGAGCCGATGTGAGATTTAGAAAGAAATAGAAAAAACAAACATATATCTGAGCAGCGACCGCGGAGGTTTAGAGAATGAACTGTACTTTCGGCTCTATTGTAAATATTGTGTAAATACACCTCATATTAAACCAGTTTCCTACTTGAAGCGTCACCGTCCTTGCATCACCAACGAAAACACGGAGCAACGTGAGCGTCAGCGGTATCTCCGGGCATCGCCGACAGCAACGCCCCAGTGGGTGTCAAGGATCCTATCATCACGGCCCAGAACTATAGAGATTTAAGGAAAATTAAATATAGGACTAAATTTCAGGAGATAGCGATATATGCCGTATACCATAGTAATAGCGAGACACCAGAACATGCTGTTTTGAAGTGCGTGGTGCCATCCTCTTCAAAGAGCCTACCCTCCCTGAAAAGGTAACGGATTTGGCGGAAGTGCTAGGTTCAGCTGGCGCGGATAGAACAACGTGGGAGCAAAGGATTACAATCACAACAAGAAAATTAGAAGATTAGTGGAGGAGGTTTAAAAATTTCGATAACCTTAAAAACGGGTTCGGTAGGTGATTTAACGAGAGACAAACGTTATCCTGAAACTTAAAGAAGAAAGGTGCAAATGTTTCTAGGCTGGGTGACGCAAGCTACCTCTCAATACAAAGGACACAGTCAACACGGTTAATCTGTTTGTCCATTCTCTAATAGAATACATTCGCTTGTCAGAAGTGCTCTGGCTGGCTTGCAGTGCCCCGCGAAGAAATAGAGCGCACTGAAAAAACATCGCTCAACAGAAATGTCAGCCCACTAAGTATAAGAGCGTTCGTTGTGTCAATGGTACGCCGGAAAAGAGAATATAGCGTTTGGCTAGGAACACGGAAGCAGGTGGACACGTCCTGTCACCGTGAAAGGGCTGAGTGAAGAAAGGAGGTCTGCCTCAATATAACCAGCACAATATGACCCTCATTAAAGAAAAGCCGAAATGCGATGGAGTTTTGACGTTTCTTTTATAAGACATCGCAGCTCCGCAGCTCTTTTCATTTTATTTTTTTTTTTTTCTTCCTCACCGGTCTAGAGGTTTTGCAGTTTTTAAAGCAAGCTATTTCTCCCGACCCCTGCGCAGGCCTGTGAAGAGTACTGCTATCAAGTACACATATTTGAGGCGTGCGGATGCCGCTCGTTCAAGCACATCAGGGTCCTGGTGCCAAACGTCATGGCGGTACCAGTCTGTCCCGACATGCTAAGAGGTAGCCCTTTTAAATAAGACAATTATTTTATGCAAACGACTAACAGTCGGCCATTTCAGCAAGATTTATATGGGATAATAAGGGAAGTGCACCTTAAAGCGAGCTGATTCTTGGGAGGCAAGGGCAATTTAATATCGCACATAATTAACGCATATGCCAGTGTAATCATGGCGAGAGGAAAGAGTGACTCTGTGGCATCCAGATTATGAGTGCTCTATTCCATTTAGAGCTCGCACATGACAAGAAAACCATACGGATAGTACACAAGCTTGTTTCACTTTAACATGAAGGCGTGCTTTTAGCAATACGACGAACTGTCCCATGCCACGCCACGGTCCTTTCTAACAGAGTTCGAGACAGGAAGTGCCGGAAACACGCTCAAAGCGCCACCGCCGCCGTGTGGCACGAGAGCCATGATTTTCTGGGAGACGAGTTTAACGCCTTCGAACTGTGACTGAATGCGTGCACGAATTGACCTCGAGTTCTAATTCAACGTCCGATGAGATCAGGTCTCAGTCGGGCACTCAGAATCGAGATCGGGGCACAATCGTTGCGTAAGCACTGTTGTAGTGTCGTGAAAATGTACGAAAAAAAGATACTTTCGATGTTGATCATGCACTCGGAGATTATTGAATCGCCTTGTTCTTTCTATTTATACCGTACTGGTTAATGATGGTTAATGATCCATCCTTTCTCCCCCCCCCCCCCCCCCCCCTTGCAAAGAACATTTCCTAGACCTTGCATTTGAAGCACACTAACAATATGTGCTATTTAGGAAGAGGCTAATGGATGTACAAGCTGCAAAATGAAAAAAAAGTTATCGCAGGATCCAGGCCATAGTTCTTTGACATTCAAATGTTCTGCTTCAATTTCAGGTGACTGTGAAAGGGAGATTGAAGCTAAGGTTCACCGGAAAGTTATCACGTGCAAATGTCTTACGCCGTGCGTGTAAGTGTTTTCAATGTCCAAAAAGTTACAGTTAACAAGTTTAATTAATTATGCAAGGGATCATTCCCCACACGGGCTTTTTCCGCAGACAAGTTCCTGCAAAAACCGTGATTTCACCCTTTTCGGATATGAAATCAGTCATGAAATTCAGGAACATGTTTGCAGGCCCGAGGAACCCCTCTGCCGGCGTACTGAACTTTTTTTTATTACGTGGCAGAGTTCATACAACACATATCTTGCAAGTTACCGTCATCGCACCATGGTAATGGCCATTCTTACTCGTTCTCTCTTAAAAGAAAAGTTTTGTGCCAAATGTATTCTGTTGAAGATACGCAGTAGCAAGTCCAGCACAAAAGCAGAATTTTTGACGTAGATACAAGCCATGAATTGATTGTGCACCCTTCATATCCCATGTTCATGCGGTGTGCAAAAACTTAATCACTGGCCCGTGGTGTAAAGACTAAATCAATAAATATCTGGTGAAAGGGTTTTTGTTTCTACGTGGGTTGTCAAATTCGAAAGAGGTCGTTGTTGTCAAGTGACGCCATCTTTTATTATTGAATTGGCCGAAAATCTATAGGTAACGTAGGAAATACCCGCACCACTGGCATGAACTATATAAAGCCCGTCTTCCGCCGGAACCCTTTAGCCGGAGGGCCGGGCACACAGTCCTAAAAATGAGCCCCCCCCTTTCTTTCTTAACATTAAAAACGAGCCTGTTGGTAAATATACTTAAACAACCGGAGAGTTAAGACAGCGCACACAAAAGCCGGTCCTACCCTTCACGCGTGCCCACTCCAAAGCAGGAAAACGGGGTCTCGTGAAATCTCTCCTAAAATCCTCGGGAACCAGGTCGTGCCTCCACCTCACCGCGCACAGTCTGCTTCTACAGACAGAGAGGCTAAAGAGGGCAGGGTACCCTGAAGACTTAGTGGCAAATACATTAAAGAGGCTGATCATCGCCTCCCGGGCGCCGCCAGCCGCTCCTGTTCCTCGCAAAAAACGTTTTGCAGTTATCCCCTACTGGCACAGCACCGCACATCGCCTTAAAGGGACTCGCCTCTCGCCTCGAGGTAGGGGTAGTGTTTAGCTGCAAGCAAAAGCTTCAACATATGTGCAGAATGGTGTATACCCCACCCGCCGCGACCCAATGCAACAAAAAGCACGGACAGCAGTCTGTTAAGTGCAGGAAGGAGGAGGTTTATATTACCTCTTTTTCGTGTGTGTGTGTGTGTGGGGGGGGGGGGGGGGGGGGAGTATATAGGGCAGACCGGCAGGTGCCTAAATGACCGCCTGGGGGAACACCCGCGGGAGGTGAGCGAACCCCCCGACGACTCCATGCATCCAATAGTCGTATACACCATATGAAGTGCGGCGGTTGTTCATCCAGATACGAAGTTACGCGCGTATAGACCCTTTCCGAAATTCAGTACCACCTGGTGGTTCGTAAAGCAGTTTAGGCTTTGCCGTATCAATGGCGGAAATGAACTTGTATCGGCACCGTCACTTTTGCAAGTCAACGGCACGCGAGAAATTCTTCAGTGTGAGTTCTTTCTCGATCACTTTCAGTTCGATGGTGACCAAGAACCTGCATTCAAAACAAAGCTCCAACCCACTCAGATGCCTCGGGAAAACTCTATACACCAAAATGCTTTAAAGCCGATTTTGTGCCGCCCGCAGATTGACTGAATCTGAGTTATTAGAAATAAACGCTTACGCAGCTCTTGTGTTTCATTCCTACGTCGCGTCGTACTGACCCCCGAATGTACAGGCCTCGCATCATCCGCTTAGAAGCATCTTCAACGTCTTCCTTTATGAGTCACTGGAAGGCCGCCATTGGTATGGCACAGATGCCTTTCCACAGATGATGATAGCGATCAAAGTGGCCAGACTGAATTTCGGAAAGGGTCTATTGAGAGGACACCGGCAAAGATTTGGCAGGGAAGTCGCCGAATCGTACGCCATTAAAGGGGCCCTGCAATCATATTTAAGCGTCTACCTTTTTTTCAGTTTCCACGTCTCTTGGGGTTCGGGCAAGCCAGCGGGCACAGAGAGAGTAACTAAATACCAGTGCGTCATATTTAAACCGGACGTCGCGGAAACCTTCTCCACCGACGAGGGCGACCCACGGTGCCGAAAGCACGCGATATGTGACGTTTTTGGTCCTGGCCTTACTACTGGTCAGAGCCGCTAAAAGCTTTCTTTTTAGTCGAAATACAAAATATAAGTGGCGCGAACCGTTTCAGTTATTTATGAAAGCAGTTTTTCTTCAGTATTTTAGATCAGAAAAGGAACAGAGGCAGTTTATAAAGTACGGAAACAAGAAATGACGCATCAACATACCCTCCACCAAGCGGTGGAAAAGGTGGCGGATACTAGAAAGGGGTAGTGGGATCAGGCACCAATCCCGGATGTACGCGGCGGCGCTGCGGTCGAGGATCCAACCGGTTGCGAGCGTTCCGTAGGCCTTCGGCTGTTTCGGCGAGCGGGTTTGGCACTATGGCAGCGCGAAGTGGCTCCCGTTCTGAACTGACCTTTACCCCGTATTTACTGTCGTTTGTAGCCAATGAAGTGTCATGCCAAATTAGTGTTTAATTGCGAAGCAAATGCAATGTGAGCCGCCCTGGTTGCCCGCTTCATACAGCCTATCTAGAGCATGCTTTAGTGCCGCCCTATCGAGCCAACGACACGGAGTGAGGCAGCCGTGAGCGCTCGCTGACCTCACTACCCCTCCTCTAGTCACGGCCACTCAAGCAACCACTGACGTCATGAAGTCGATTATTTTTTGCTTGTTTTTGTAATTCTAATTTGCCCATAACTTTTAAAATAAAGCGAAATTTGAGAAAAGAAAAGTTTCATTAAAGGGGTCATGAAACGCTTTTCCAACTTTTTCTTGTTTCGCTTTCCTCCTCAACTCATAAATAGCGCATTCCACCGAAAAGGGGGAGTCCCCTCTTGCTCGCACTCTCGTTTGTGTAATCCCGGACACATTTATTCTCCCCCTAGAAGATTAGCCCGTCGCTCAAAATTCAGACAAAAGTTGCTTTCCCCACCCCGTTCATTCCGAAGCTGACAGTGCTGTTGAAGCTACGTGCTCGTTGGGCCAGCCACACTTGCCACGTGAGCGTGGCAAATGTGGCTGCAGAGTCAGGTGATGAAAGGGAGGCGGCTGATTGGTCCGGCAAGCGCGTAGCTTCCACCACAATGTCAGCTTAGGGGTGAAGGGAATAAGTGAGGTCCGGTTGCGTGTGACGTCAGTTTGGACCCGATAACGCGCTTTTGGGACTGCGGATGTATCACTGTGAAAAGGCAGAGAGGTTGCGAAGGGGAGGAGGTACGAAATAGTCCGCTCTGTTTTCAAATTTTCGCACTGAAAGTCAGGCTTTTGACTTTCTACCTTTTTTCTTTTGGTCCACTGAACGATGTGCTATTAGTAAAATCCCAATCTAAAATGATTTATCCCAACCCAAAAATCGTTTCATGGGCCCTTTAAGTTCTGACAGCGAGATGACATTCCTCCGTCCCGAACTGGGCGAAAGGGACCAGAGGCCTAAAGGGAAGGCCGCGAATAGCCCGTTTATCCCCTCCTCCTCTTTCAACCCCCCCCCCCCCCTTTTTTTTTCTTCTCTTCTCCCTCCCCTGAACCTGCTCGAAGGCCGTCGTTTGAACGCAGCCGAAATAAATGTCGTTGAGAGTTGAAAGAGTTGTATGCGTCTGTTTTCGTCCCGAATTTGTGTTTATTCTTTCTGTTTATTTCGTTTGGCGCCTCCGCGCGGGCCCTCTCAGACCCTCTAGGCCATTGTTCGCACTCCAGGCGGGGTTTTTTCGTCGTGCAATAAATTATTTCAACGACGCCCGTCTCGAGTCACATAGTCGACGGGATTCAGCTTGCGGTAGTCAATTCAAAACCGAGTTTTCCTGTTCGTCTTTTTTCGATGCTAACACCACAGTAGCGGAATAGACGTATTGCTATATTACCCAAGCATCAAGGAGAATGCAGGGAGTGGTGTTCCATGCGCCGCACGTGCTGGCCTCAGCAGTAGTAACTTTTCTTAAGCAAATACTTTAAACAAATTGCATCTTGCACGCGCGTTAGTCAACACTTTATTTTGGTTATTTACTTCGAATCTTTTATACGGGGAAGGCGCGCGCGTGTGGCGCGTGGAACACCTATCCCTGCATTCTCCTTGATGCTTGGGTAATATAGCTAATTGTCTATAGGGAGTATTCACTGGCGGCCATAGCTGTGTGCGCGACTGCTGAGCGCGTGCTGACCGCGAGCTTCCACAGTTATTTCGCCACGTGCATTCCGCACCACCAAGATTGCCGGTCTTAGCGGCCTATTAACGTGAGCTTGTTCCGAGCATGCGCTCTAAACATCGCCCTCAAATATGGTGTCCAGTGAATACTCCCTATAGGATGACAAGGACGGCCGAATTAACTTCTGCTCTAGGTGGAATATCACTTGCTTTTCAATTTCCGCTTTGTCAGCCAGCGATGTCCAGGGTGTACTGTGAATGGGGACGTGGTTGGAGGCGTTTTTGGTGCACTGCTCGAGATTTATAGCTCCAGTGTTTGTTTGGGATCTTGAGAATACTGAAGCCTGAGGTTCAAGCAGAAATTTTCGTCTCAAACATCGGCGAAGAGTCACGGATAGTCAGAGTTTCTGCCGAATCGGCGCCTCTCTAAAATCTGATGTCTTTCTCTGTGTGCGAATGCCCAGACATAGCCCCTTTACGTTATTGATGGTGATATGTATGAAGCGTTTTGTTGAGTTGTAGCCGGTCAATCCTCCAACGATGTCGGTTGCCAGCAGGTCAAGGGCCTCGGTGGGTGGCTGAGATTCGAAGAAGCCGAACTTCAGCTTATAATGCTTGCACTTTTAGCATTCGTCGCAATGCATGACGTAACGAGAGAATTCCGTGATTATGTTAGGTCAGTAGTGCCGTGAAGAGAGTAAATTCAGTACTTTCTTGGCACCGACGTTAATGTACTCTTCCTGGGCTTTTCTGGTGTCGTGTTGGCGAAGCCAGTCGGAATAGAAATTTTCGTCGCCCTTTTCTTTTTATCACGACGATATCACTTTAGTCGCAGCAGTTTGGATGCGCTCATGGGAGCTTGGGCCGAGCATGTCGAACGGATATGGCGTGGCATCCCAACAGAAAAAAGCTGTCTCCTGTCTTCGAGGGCCCTTACCTGGTTCTTCGAAAAGTTTTATGCGCAAACTATGAGATCGACAGCGCTTTGTGTAGGTTATCCAAACATCATAAGATGATGGGGGCGTCGGTAACGCCCCCATCATCTTATGGTGGAAATAAACACTATTATTATTATTATTATTATTAAAGAGACTTTGTGCATGTCAGCATTTTACGGCGTTACCGACGCCCCTCTGACTTTAAACTGTATTAGCGCTGCTACCGCGGAGCCCTTTAGCCAGAGATTCTGGCAGCCACACTCCATGAAAACGAGTTTAGTTTGGCATTCTTTTGTCCATATAATACACCTCGAAACTTGAGTTCGACGCACAGCGCACGGATGTTGAACTGACCGTCCCAACTTTTACGAGAAATTGATAACGGTGCGATATAACTTGTTAAACAACTGAAATACGTATCAAAGACTGCCGAAAAAAAAAAAAAAAAACACTCAGGTTTATCAGTAGGGCCAAAAAAACTCCGATTTATGTTTTCTTTTTGTTGTTGTGAGTAGCACGTACATTAGCCGTTTTAAAAAGTTGTACCACTGGGCTATCAGTAGCCCATGATGGTTGGTCTTTTCCAGTATATTTACCCAGAAAACTCCTCCATTACCTGAATACAATTTATTGAGCTGTTACCCGCCTATGTTTCCCTTCTTATTTCTCCCGAAGGGCATCCGTTGGTTCGAACACAAACCGCTCGACGTGGAACTCAAGTTTTGGGGTGCATTATATGGCACAAGCGGTGTAAGACTATGCCCTTTGTTCCAAGAGTGCATCTGAAGTCCTCGAAATGGGCTTCCTCGTTCTTCCCGTTTCGTTTTGTTTGGCGCCTCCGCGCGGGCCTTGTCAGGTCCCTCGGTGTCTTCGTCCCCACGCCAGTGGGGGTTATTTTGTCGTGCAATAAACACCTATGTATTTCATCAATACCCATGTCGAGTCATATAAAGGTTATATATGCGTGTAACAAGTGTTACCTTCTTATTTCTCTATCTTACGTAGGACTCATGTATACCACACCTATGCGAGCAGTCTCGTTTGGACTAGTCATCTGGTAAGTACGATATCAAGATATTTCGTACGGTAAATGGTTGCCCGAACTCGAGTAATATGTAGATATACATCGAGTAATATATCAATATTCGAAACACGATTACTTTCAAAAACCACCAAGCAGGGACAGCCAACAGGCTGTATACAACCAGCTGTATAGTGTATATCCACTGGTGGGTTAACTAGCCACTGGTACTCTCAAACGTCTCTTCATGACGGCACGCCAATGCACTTAGTATTTAGGAACACCGCCATTTGGAGTTCCATTAAGAAATTCAACCAATCAAAAGGGACATCGAGACTCCATTGGGGCGATGCCCATGCGGTCTTAGTCGGAAAACCGGTGCACAACTGCACGTTTTGCCGCTGATAGTGCATTGCCGTTCGGGCCTGATATGCTCACAATTGTTTTAGCTAAACTTTGTATGTCGCGTTAATCGCAACACAATATTCAGACAACAGTATGCGAGAGCTTTGTGGTTGATGGCGAGAAGATCAAACCAGGGGCGGCATTGTCTTACGCAGAACTTAGTCTTACATTGAAGCTGTTTATGGCTGGGGTTCCGTGGATGTTTCGTGTGCGTCAACAAAAAACTTGGAGAGGGCTCGCACCGCCCTCTCTTAGTCATCGTTCCAAGCGCTTGCGGGCCTAATTTTCTTTCCTTCCGCCGGGTGGTGGTCCCGTCGCGCGTGTCTAGTTTCCTCCGGCTCCTCGGGGTGGCGATAGTCCTCGACATATGTGTGCGTACTTGTGTGCGTGTGTTCGTTCCTTTGTTCGAAACCCAGTGTGACGTTTGTGTCGTCTGCTAAACAGCTTCGCTGGTCATCTAACTTCGCAGTCTGGAATCCCTCACGATTTTTTTTATTCAGCCCAATGCTCGTGGACTGCATTTTTTACGTCATCTGCCTCGATCGAGCACGGGCACAGATTGGACGCGACCGCTTCGTCTGCGTTCGGCAAGGCCTCATCTTTAATTGGTGATTCACTGATTGAACACCAGCCACAACCGAAAGCTCACGAAGCGTTCGACTGCGTCAACCGAGCGCTCCGTCGGAAACACAAACAAATAATTCAGGTAGTTGTTGTAGTGGGTTTAGTTCTCGACTCAGCCGCCAGAAGAGCTACGGTGGGATATTTTCTCTTAACATTTAAACCCGTCGTTTTCAGAAAGAACGCTGAAGTCTAACGAAAGTTTTTTGTGGGCAGTGGTTCTGCTCATTGTAGTATGTAATATCTCGTGTGTAATTAGGAACACCTTTCGAACAAATGTTGATAAAAGGGGAATCAATAAAACAAAAAAATGATATTCTTGTGGACAATGAGTCCTGGAGGCGGATCAAAAGGTTCGCTATTCTGCCGAAACACGGAACATTTTGTCATAGAAAAAGCGTTTTTTTACCGCGTATTTATATGAGAATTTAATGCGTAATTTCATACTTTCGGTATGAAATTACGCAGGACGCTTTGTTTTATAAACTTTCGCCTTACGTATGTTCACGCGCGGAGGCAGTGTCTTAAGCTCTCTCGAAAGTTTTTTGCGTGATTGGTTGGTGCTCTATTTTGATACATACCTGGCTTTATTCGTACTTACGAAGAGCCGGCGATGAAAAACTTGCCACGTCGGTGGCCAGAATGGCCCTGGCAGATGCCGCCGGGACGAGTTCAAACTTCAAAGGAATAAAAAAGCGGAGGGATTATGAATTTATGCGGCCGAAAGATGTCCCCGGTCGTACATATTGAGTTCTGTCATGGACGGAGTACTTCGCCATGCCTGTGTGTTTCAGCGACTTCAACAATCATGCCACTAACTAAGCGTCTGCATGCAAACTAGTGGGGAAAGTGGCGGACGTTGCTCACCAACATGATGGGAAGGAGTTTATCGGAAGAGAAAAGGCGTTTCTCGAAACCGTCCTTTATCGCGAGTGCACTTGCACGAAGAGAATACATCTGGTATGCAAATACAGTACGCGTGATACTTTGATCTGCAAGATACCTTGATCATCTTGTCTATCTCGCCCATTAGTGGCCTTCAGGGTACAATTTGATTTCGTTTAATTTGTTTTGTTTATTTACATTACAACTGGGTCCGACAGTTTAAAAATTGAGGACTTATATTGTTTCCTTTCCTTCAGGTGGAACCAGAATATAGGCTACAGAAAGAATCGTCCGATCGCAAGAAGTAAGTCTGTCTTTAATGTAGCCTGCCAAAATATCCGTGTTTGTTGAATATGGTTATTTATATCATTTTGTATAATCATAGTTCTATGGGTATTTGTGGTTTTATTAATTAAAACTAAGCTGTTCAGACTTGCCTCATCAGCTGAAAAGTAAATTTCGTTCTCGACAGAACGTATATTTGTTTAGTATGTTGGTTCGTCACGACAGTTTTGCTCGAGATCTCAACCCACAAATAACAGTACTCGTATAGACTTGTCGACACAAATCGAAATTAAAACGAAATTTTCTTAGTCAGACAAATGTCTTGGAGGAGGGGACAAGAATGTGACTGGTGTCACTTGGCCAGCCCCCACCCAACTGTAGAGTTCACAGCAATCATCAATATTGTCACGAATGACATGTGATGAGGCGACGAAAACTGAAGTAAACTGGACGTTTATTGGGGCGAACTTTTGTCAAAAACATATTAGAGAGGGGTTAGCGTCGCAAGAGGCGATGGCGGCGAAGCAGCAGGATCAAACGCTGGAGCGAGACTGACTGCGGCTCGCCACGCGGAGCACATTTTGTACACGCGTGTGTCTCTGGAACATTCGGCCTAGAACGTACGGCGCGTAGAACATTCGTAGCTCGATCAGACGAGAAGGTTCTCGAACTTATGAGAACGCCAAGTAGAAAGAATAGATAAAAGACGCGGCGCTCCCAGGAATCCAACCCTGGGCTACTGCACGAGAGTCAAGCGCGGTAACCACTCGGCCACGCACGCGCTCGCTCGCCGACGCGCGTGGCATTAATATATAAAAACTATCAAGACGTCATTGCATACAAGAGAAGGGGGTATGAGGGAGTGCGCAGGTGGTATCAAGATCTGAACTTTTCTTCTTCTATGGCATTAAACGTTTTCTGACTGACTGAGGTACAAGAGAGTGCATGACATATTTTGTACATTTGTGCTGCTTTGATTCACGAGCAACAGCAGATTCAATTCGCTGCAAAATTTGAGCAAATTTCTGAATCGCAGAGTTCGAAATCTAGTATTCAAAACGGCTTCCAAACAGTTTGTTCGCACCAGTATTGTGCCGTTAAGGGCAGCCAGGTGCGTTTCAACGGCTAACATAATTTTCATTATGCCATCAATTAGGCCTAAAGATAAGATACTGGAAATAAAAGCACCCCAGAGTGACGAAAGAAATGTCAATGAATAAAAATATTGGGCTCCAGCCTGTGAAACGAGCGAATAAAACCTAGAAGACGTAAGATGGGGTTATTTTACGTTAAAGCTAGTTTTCGAGTTATGTTTGGAGTATGGCTAGCTTGCACGTGTTTTGTCTTTTGCCCTAAACAGTTAAGTTTTTCTTAGTAAAGCTTAGTAAACCACCAAGTTTATTTAACGAGCCCACCCTAAAATTTTAGTACGAGATATTCTAAGTTGAATGTGTTTCCGCTTTGCATATATAGTATATTTCTACCACAGACCAAGCTTGGTTTTTCATTTAAGGAAATTCTCAATCTTACTTTTGGTATCTAACTTTGCTAGAAAGATAAATATTTTCTTCTTCATTACTTTCACTTTTGCGTAGAATCCACGCCAGAATTAAGGTCTTCATGAAATCAACCAAAATCCTCTATAGACGCAAGGAACCCAAATCCACAGTAAGCAATAATTTATTTTTCAACTCCCACTATCGGTGTAATAAATTTCAGAGTTTTATTAGATCATTCCAATGACACCAATGATGATACCAGATACTCCGCCGCCCGCTTTGTGCATGCATTATATCGTTATCAAGTATTGTTCTCGTGGGTATCGGACGTATCAGGACGATCTACTGAAACTCTTTATTAGATAGTTTTTAAAGGACGTTCCGATACCTCCAATAACGGCACCCGGCAACAATACCATGCACGCGGAAAGGCGTCGGCGGAATACCGGGTATTGCTATCGGAGTCGTCGGAACAATCTACTCAAACTCTCTATTAGAGAAGAAGAAAATAGATGGTGCTATAGAGAATTTAGCAGCCTTGAAATGGCGCCGGCTATCCAATCTAGTTAAAGGATTTTTTTAGGTGGTTTTCACTGTCTCACAATCTTCTTTCGCCACCCGTTGCGTGAACCGGAATTCTACAAGCAAGTCAAGTGGCGCCTATGCGCAGTGAGGAGCGGATTGTGGGACATCGAAAAAGATCTACATGAATAATAGACTATATTCCACCATATCAAAGCGCACGACGCAACAGCCTTACTTTGCGAAATCCGAATTTCGGTTCAGTATCCCTATAAGTTGGGGCAGGTTAGCCAATGTGAGCTTAGCTTAGGTTAAAGTAGGCTATAGGTTAGGTTCTGTTAGTAAAGATAAGGTTGGGTTAAAAAGATTATGTTATCAGAGGTTAGCTTAGCTTGCGTTATGTTAAGTTAGGTTTGTCTAGCTTAGCTAAGCTCACGTTGGGTACTATTAAGAAGCGCGAAATGCACATTTAATATGAGGACTTGACGCATTCCACCCGTCTGCGGCGCAGCTGGCCAGTCTGTTCCGGAGCATCGGCGGCCTGATGGGCGTCTACCTGGGCTACTCTTCGCTCCACATTTTTCACGTGCTCGACGTGCTGTTCGACGGCGCCTGGTCCAGCCTCTCCAGGATCCTGGCGCGAAGGAACCGCACCCGTGAAGCCCGGCGCGAATTTCATTCTCGAACCCTTGCCGATAGATATGTACTGACAAGTTATCAGTCAACTTAACGATATATGCTCGCCCGAGGTGTTTGCTTTTTGGGTGGGACCGGAATTCTCGAAAAATGAAAACTTGCGTGAAGTCGCAATCTTGCTGCTCATGCATCATACGGAAGAGACGGCTTTTGCTGCATGCAGAATTCAAGAATTATTGGCAAGCACGCATCACGCATGTTGGAAGCATGTTTTCGTCAAACATACGTGAAACATTTTTTTTCTCAACATTCTAAGCATTTTTAACAAGCGCATTTTTTTAGATTCGGCCATAAATAGCTGTAATGCTAACATAATAGTTCCAGCCGAGACCTGGCTGCGCTCGCAATTACGTGATGACGAAATCTTCCACGGCGCAATAAGTTTTTTTTATTTATCGCTTCGACCTCTCAACCCGTCAAGAAGGCGGTGATATTTAGGCAGTTTCTAAACAAATTTCATTTGTATTTATGTTCCCATTAACTTAGAAATTGTGTGGGCTATTTTGGAACTTGGTCATCAAAAAATTGTCATCGGTGTTTTTTTCGCCCCCCCCCCCCTTTACTCTTCCGGTTTAATGAGCCAGCTATACACTGTGTAACCAATATTGTCACAACTCGCCACCGCAATTTTCTTTATCACTGCGTGGTAATTTTAACATTCTGAATGTAAAACACGCGATAGCGAAACATCCAGGATGTACCCCTTCTCCACTCTAGCGAATGTTTTTTTTTTCTTTGTGGTTTTTTGTTTGCACAATTTGGGAAACAACCTACCAGAGCAACGTCTCTTGTCGCGAACACAGTTAGTTTAGTGAAAACATGGTAGCCTGATCTTGTTTCTGGCATTATTTACCTGGCTTGCGGTCATTTCCTAAATTTACTTCACACTAACATGTTTCGACGTAAAACCTCGAAGACGTAGCGACCTAGTACCACACAAAAAAGTGAAAACCATTCTAAACTACAAATGTGCGAACCAAGCCATTGGTACTGAATTAGCTGCGTTCTTTGATATATTTTTTAAGGAGTTTGAATCGTAGTTTACAAAATAACTGGGACATGTTTGTAGCCAAGGTACATTTTGTTTCTTCCTACTCGTACTATCATTTCTAGCCATCAGGTCAGCTGTATAACATTCACATTAAGTGCCTACCTAACAAAAAAAATCGACCCTACACACCAGCAAAATCACTTTCTAGCGATGTCCGCTGAACAGTTATCAGCTTGCTTCCAAATAATAGATAACAGCCATAAACATTCAAAGGATATCTCCCCCCCCCCCCCCCCAAAAAAATACCTTGCCGTACATGCTAACTGAAACTGAAAAATTCTGGCAGGTTATCGGTACAAAACTTGATAATGATAACCCTTTGAAAAATCTATTATGTATGAAGTATGTCCTAATGTATTTCGAATTTGTTTTAGTGTGTATTTCGTATTTTTAGATACACTAACAGTGTACTAATTATATACTCTTTAACTTTTTACTTACTATTAAAATATATCAAAGAAGATACGTTAAAAATATGTGCATTAAATATATACTCCCAGCATACCTAAAATAGACCTAAATGCATGAATGCCATGTTAGTACATACGAAAGGTATTTCAAATATATATCAAGCATGGTCTAATTTGCTCTGTATGAATATTTTTTTGGGAAGATATTGAATATACACTTACTAAAATATACTTCTGCGAATATGATATAAGCTCTCCTCAAATACACTTATGTGCTTAAGTAGTATGTAAAAACGTTAAACATTTATTGTACATGTATTTTATAAATATAAACTCAGTGTACTTAGAACACACTGTTAATATATTGAAACCACGGATTGTTTGAAGCGCAGTTGACACCGATAATAATACATTAATACCAATAATCTGAAGAAACGTTAAATGCCGTTTCTCTGGTGCCGAAAAAGACCAAAAATACACAAGTAGGCTTCCACAAAACCTGGCTTGTGAAAACAAGGCTAATTTTGAGAAGTTATTTTATGCAATGATTTTATTGTCAATACGTAGACTTAAAAAAAAATCCTCACTTATTTTAACGGTTGGCAACACTGCAGCATGAGCCCAACTGGTAGCATCCCAACCATTGACGCCGTGAGTTTCACCGTTTTTAGCCGGAAAACTATTGAATCCTCGCTGAAAAGTTCCTGGAGGGCTCCATGACTGTTGAAAAAAAAGCATACGGTACGTTTTCCGATCGATCGTGTAGCTTTTAAAACTCTGAGGTGCACGTTTCTAAAGTGAAGGGACGGAACGTTCAACATGGATGCCATCTTTCCGCCACTGGCGGCCAGTAGTATAGCCGAGTCGTTCTGCAGGAAAAGAGCCTAATAATTGCCGAGAAGTTCCTGAAAGTCCTCACGGATGTACAAATGAGGCGCAGAGGTACGTCGCTCGGCCATTTGCGTGCCTCTTCAAGCGCCGAGGAGCTGATTCCCATCATGATGCGGCTGCCGGCACCTTGTGGAATTTCGCGGTGCCTTCTGACGGTCAGCAGGCGCGCCTGACGCCTTTACGAATCTACAGGCATTCGCTGGATGACTGTATCACGACCAGGCTATTAAAAGGCGAAAAGCGTAGTGCCGAGTCCGTCCACCTTTGTTTGCGGCCATCGCTAGTACCGGACGCTAATCCGTCTTCATCGGGTTAGGTTTTTCAGGCATCGGCCGCCGACCTAAAAGGTCGAACGACAGGTCATCTTCGACAGCACAAGGCAAGGTTGTTTTTCTTTTAAGCGTTTTTTAGTAGTCGAGCCTGTTCTTAATATATGATTATATATATCCGAGTCCCAAATGTTGCGTAAGGGGAAACTCTTTTTCCTCTCTACCTCTAAGTCTGTCTGCCAGAAGTTCTGTCTATTCTGTTATTTCTCTTTCGTTTTGAATTTTTCGCCGCGCGTGTAAGTGTAGCTGGAAGCAAATGCTTATCTTTTGTTAAGCAGAAAAGTGCATTCTGTAATGATATGGAAATAGTGTTGTGTAAATATAAGGCTTTTTATAGAAAAAAACCCTGAGAAGACTGAATGGGTAGAATTTACCACTGTACCGGTAGTACAAAATAAACCAGTTTCTACTTTCAATCTGCGTGAACTGTTCAGTGCGTTTTATATTTCTATTTTGTGTTGCTAGCACCCTAGGAGTGGTCTCTTTCGCTTAGTTTCAATTAGTGAGTACCACTTTGCGCTTGCTGTACGGATGGTTTGCAGTTCTGAGGTCGCGGAGAGACATCCACTAGCAATATTTAAGAAAAAGAATATATATCTATATCTATATATAGAATGTATTAACATTGTACAGCTTATACGTGTTTTTATGGAACTGAGAGATGCAGTTTAAATATATCATAGGTCGTATTTAAGGTGCACCTTTTATCTACTTTGGAATATACTTTTGCCATAATTTTAGTGCACCCGGAAAATATCTTAGGGATATATTTCAGAAAAAAAATTTTGCATCTGGACCAAAAAGTAGAAAAAACACGTGTATTAAAAAAAAAAAAAAACATTTATAATATATCTGAACTATAACTCTTTTGTTAGAGCATCCTCGTCAACAGTGCTGGTGATAACATCCCCTTTCATCATTGCTCGATCGATCTTATCAAAATATTCACAAGGAATTTCTTTGTTACTACAAATGTCTTATTACCTACTGCAAACTAATATGACAACCTTGCAATGTTTCTTGTTATTGTTGTTTCAATTTGTGTTCAAAATATCATTATATCACTTACACATTCATCCATCTCTGGTTTAGATTTAATTGCCCTTAATTTCTTAAAAGTGCTAGTGTTATTTTGCCGTTCTGTTATCAAAAGTGTTTAAGCAGTCGCTGCATAATAGTCTTCTCGCGGCTGAGTGGAAAGTCAGAAAAGTTATTCCGCTTCACAGAGCAGGGAAGAAGCATTCTGCAATTAATTACCGAAAAACGTCGCTCACCGGCATTCCATGTAAATTTTTAGAGCATATTTTGTTTTCTAACTTGTTCACCTTTCTAGAATCTAATTCATGTTTTTTTTTTCGTTTTTTTTTTTTTACATCTTCACAACATGGCTTGCGGGAAACGCATTCGTTCAAAGCGCAATTCGTGTGTTTCACTTAGAAACTAAACACCATTCTTGATCGATCATCTCTTGACGATTGCCATATATTTATACTTTTATTAAGTATTTCATAAGGCGTGTCACACGCTATTAGTTCATAAATTACGTGACTTCTATCTTGATCCCAAACTTCGCACGTGGCTTAAATGTTTTCTTGTTATCCGTTTACAGTTGGTTTCAGCTAACAATCTTACATATCTGCAAAGTGGCGTCTACCCCGGTGTGTCCCAGTGATCTCTGCAAGGAGCTCTCCTTTTTTCTTGCTTAAATGAATAATCTTCCCTCTACTGTTTCTTCCCACATTCATATATTCACAGGAAACTTTGTGGTTTTCAAGAAATAACGTGACAACTATATAACCACTCACCAATCTGAACTTGCCTTACAAAAATAGGTGTAGACGTCCTATGTCCATAATTTTGCCGTTATATTACCGCTTTGTCTATCCTATGGATTATTGTAGATAGTTCTTGGACCATATAAGTACCGCTGGTTTGCCATAGAGTGGCCACAACAACACTATAGAGATCTCCGCGAAACAAAAAGATTTTCATTCCTTCCTTTTTTCATGCTATGGTCCTGGTGAGTCTATGGGCATCATATTGCCTCTCTGTGGTGTGAGCTATATATTGGTAGATTAATAAAGTGATTCCGGGTAGATGTCTACTTTAGGTGTAGGGAAGGTGTCCGAGTTAAAGAGTTGTTAATTAAGCTCCGGGCATCAATATGTTACATTTATGTCTGGAGACATGCCCAACATCGGGGCATAATTAATGTGGAGATGGGAGTGTTCAGTATGTACCGGAGAAACTCCTTTACTTTCTGAGTGAAAGGTACGTGTATGTGGGTCTCTACAGGCACCGTACCTATACCCCGTGCAGACTGAGTGGCTTCTCTACGGCCCTGTAGGGACTC